TTTTTGTTCAGCAGTCAGCGACAGCGTAGAATGACCTCCTAAGGTCGGGCCGGATTAAGCTGACTCTGGCCGCCGGGTTTGTGGCCCCATTTTGAAAGTGATTGTGTGGTATCGCATGAACTGTGGCGCAGGTGTTCAGGAAAATACTGTAGTGGACGCGGAAGCAGAGCAGCACGGTGAGAAAACTGAGTCAGTGCCTGGCCGGCCACCTTTGTCCCGCATGACACGACCCACCGCGAGCACACAGCGTGCGCTGCAGCGTGCGCTCAGTCTGCAGGCCGGCATGGACGCGCTGCTGACCGCACCGGCGCCGGCGAGGCCCCCGCGGCGACCGCGACGCACGCGGCCCGAGACTCCAGCCTCCTCCAACGACACCGTCGGCGGGCCCGAGGACGGCGCGCCGCCGCCGGCCCGGGCGGGGCCGAGGGGCGGCATCCTACGGGGCGCCTCGCTGTCCGCGCCGCTCGCCGACGAGTCCCTCGGGCTGCTGCTCCTGCGCGCCCTGCAGCGCCACGGCGAGAGGGCGGCCCTGGTGAGCTAGGCTGCGCCAGCTACGCTCAGCATCAGGATGACAGCCAGCTCATGACCGGGCTGGTCGGTCCACATGTCGACAGGTCGACGCCGTCACGGCGGAAGGCATGACCTACAAGGACCTGGTGCACGAGTCGGTGACCCTCGCGCGCGCGCTCCGCACCCTGATGAAGGACATCCGGGCCAAGACAGAGAGTACGCGGGCTTCAGACGCGGGCATCGCAGGAGACGACTCCGTGGTGGGCGTGTTTGTGGAGAACAGAAAGGAGCTTCTGCCGTCGCTGCTCGCCAACCTACTGCTCGGTGTACCCGTGACCATGCTCAACCCGCTGTCAAACACGGGTTCGTGGTGCTTCTATATGGTTGCGACGCCGGTGGTCCCGAACCGCCGTGACCCACTCTGCTTACTCTGCTTGCAGGCGAGCTGGTTCGGGCGTGGACGTCAACCAGGCCCAGCTTGGCGCTCTGCTCGTGGGGGACTCTTGCCGCGGTGCTCGAGGCGTCCGTATCCCTCCCCTCTCTCACCCAGGTCGTCGTCTTCCCCAGCGGCAACCCCGAGGCCGACGCTCGGGAGGCCGCTGCCGCCAACGCTGCCCGCCGGGGCAAGTCCTCGGCCCTGCGCGTTGCAGCTTACGCGGAGCTGCTGAAGAGAACCTCGAGTAAGACTTCCGTTCACTTCGATACTCATATCCTACTACAACTCGAACATCTTTATCATAAAGCCGCCATAAGCAGACATGTTTTAAATCTTTATGTTTAAGTTTAAATGTGTGCCTTCAATATGCACATAAAATGTGCGTTAACATTAATTGTTTTTTGTTTGGAGCAGAAATAATCAGACTTTGACTCATTGGTGACAACTTTTTACCTCTGTTTAGGGATCACCCAGTAAGTACGTCTGAAATTCGCTGTAACAAACTTGCGAAGCTCAGCCTCTGCAAGCTCTCATAACGCCTGGTAGGTAGGCAACATCGTGCCTGCAGGACATGTATGTACTGCGGGTTGGCCTACTCCGAGTTTTGCAGGCGCTGAGCTCCCGTAATTTGCCGAATCGATTTAACTGGACGATCCCTTCGAAATTTTTCTTCAGGGGATGAAGGGGGGGGGGTCTTACCTCATCCCATAGCGAGGGAAAACGCCGTTATACACAGAAGGGAAAACAACAAAAACATCCACAACAACGGTCACTTGCTCATATTGCAATCATTAATTCTCTCAGAGGAGTCACTGGACAGCGCTGAGGACCTCGCGAACGCCGTCGGCGACGTTCTCCGGCCCTTGCGGAGTGACACGCACACCGCCTACCTGCTGCAGTGCGGGCGCGGCGGGCGCATCGCCCGGCTCACCCACCGCAACCTCCAGTACACCGTGCAGCTGCTGCAGTGAGTGCCCCGCCGCGGCGGACAGGCAACCCATCCGTCACCCGCGGCGCAGCGCCGCCGTGCGCCGGCTGCACTAGCTGCACTGACTCACCTTCACCTGCTTCCCGGTGTCGGCCGCCAGCACAGGGAATGCCGCGAGGCAGACAAAAGAATTCTCATGAGCGACGTCGCTTTATAAATCTTGAATTCATTGGAAAAGAGAAAACATCTGCTTAAAAGGACTGAGAATATCAAACCGCGTTAAAAAGTCAGGGAGGATACTGAGTACTGCTTCGATCTGGAATGAGTCTGACCCAGAGCTAACGAACGCCCTCGTCCCTCGTCCCTACAGAGAGCCGGACGCCGCCGGCTACGGCTGGACCGCAGACGACGTGCTGCTCCTGGGCGCGCCGCTTTCGCACGCGTTCGGCCTCGGAATCTGCCTAGGAGCGCTCGCCCTCGGCCTCAAGGTGGTCATCATGCCGTACTTCAGGGAGCAGCTGTTCCTCAGCGCGGTGCAAGCGCACAAGGTAACGTTGGCTTTCGCCAGGCGTTTGGTGCGTGGTTAAATACTCCGCCCGTGCCTGTCTGACGCAGTGTTGACGCCGCAGGTGTCGCAGCTCGTGCTGGTGCCCCGGCAGGCCGCTCTGCTGGCGCACAGCCCGCTGCTGGAGGACGCCGCCGTGCTGGCGCCGCGGGGGCTGCGGGGCGTGGTGTGCGCCGCGGCGCCGCTGCCGCGCGCCCTGCACCGAGACCTGACGCGCCGCCTGGCCGCGCCATGCCGCCAGGCCTACGGGCTGACGCAGGCCTCCTGCTCGCTGCTCGTCGCCCCCCGGGGTGCGCCACCGGACACCCAGGGGAGGGTAGTGCCCGGCGCCGAGGCCAAGGTGGGTGCGCGCGAGGTCGCCGAGCCGTCAGTAGGAAAGTCTTCCCAGGCGAGCCCTGCCTGTTAGGCAGGCTGCAATGTAGCGGTAGGCAGGGCTTGATGAGAGGGTGGTGCTGCAGGTGGTGGACGCGGGCACGGGCGCGCCCCTGGGGCCGCTCCAGGTCGGGGAGCTGTACCTGCGCGCGCCCTCCATCATGGCGGGGTACGTGGACTACGCCCGCGCCCAGGCGACGCAGGACGACGACGACGACCAGGTCGTCGGGGGATGGCTGCGCACCGGCGACCTGGCGTACTACGACCGCAACGAGTGCGTGTTTGTGGTGGACCGACTCAAGGATGTGACGATGTACACGCGCGGCCATTTCAAGGAGTTCGACGGCGAGCACGAGTGACGGGCAAGCACTTCATCAACAACCGTTATTACCAAAGTGTTGTATTTCATCAAAACAGCTTCAAACATATGACGTTGTAATAAATAATAAAGACAATAAATAAATAGTTCAATAAATACTTAATATCTAGTTCATAAAGCTAAAACATTTAAAGGGGGGATTTTTGTACAAGGATTTACCATTTTGAGACAATACACTATATCATTTCGCATGACCCAAGTGAACAGTCATAAAATAATTCGTACTGAGGTGTGAGACGAGTAACTCACACCTGTGAGATTACGGTCATACAATAAAAACCGGAGCATTTTTCATTTTCACTAAACCAGGTCGTCATGGAAGTCCCAGAAAGATAACGGCAATGCCAGTTGTAGAGATCTATAATAAAAACAAAAAGACCAACCACGGCAAAATATCACAGGAGTTTCGATGGCCGTGAGGTCCTACAGAATTACGCTTCCATCGCTTTTAGTTCAAAAGAACAACAACCCTTATTGGCTCTGAAAACACAAAACAAGCAACAAATTATCCCTTCGGAACAATGTCCACTAACTTTCGATACGTTCTACTTGAGGTGGGTGGCAATGGCGTAGGCGCGGTATGCAAGGGTCATCGGGTCGGGTAGGTCGCCGAACCAGGACTCGGCTGACCGTCCGGCCCAGGTCGCGTACGGCTGGTAGGCGTAGTCGCTGCGCGAGTAAGGCCCTCCCCCGGTGCCTGACGGCAGGTAGTTCGTGCCCTGGCCTTGCTGGCCCGGCAGGCCCGGGATGCCGGCCAGGTTGCCGAAGGAGCTGCCGATGTTGCCGAACAGCTGGCCGACGCTGCCGCCCATCTGCTTGATGAGCATGGCCTTTAGGATGATGAGCGCGAGGGTGCCGAGCATGAGCGCCAGCCCGGCCGTGTTACCCGCCATGCCGCCCGTCATGGGGCCCATGACCATCATGACGGACATGGCCATCATGAGCAGCTTCATCAGCTTCTTCTTGATCTTCTTGATCATCTTCTGCTTCTTCTTGCTGTTGCCGCCACCCCCGATGGAGATGGAGCCCCTGCCCTCGACCACGCCGCCGTGGTGGCCGCCCAGGGAGCGGCCCTGGTCGACGTCCTCGTCGTCGTCCTCGTCGTCGTGGGGGCCGCCCGGCCGGTCCAGGTGGATGTCCACAGTCGTCTTGGGGGAGCGCCCGACCCGGAGAGTGCCCGGCAGGGAGAAACGCAGCACGTGCGTGTCGAAGAAGTCGTCAACCAGGCGGTCCACCATGCCGGCCAGGTCAGTGACGTCAGCCTCCTCGTCTGCAAAGGACTCCATTGTGAACAGGGGTGCCATAGAGAACGCATTCGTTATCGCGTCGCCTCCAATGACGCAGAAGACTTGGCGATTGAGGAGCGTCCACTTGACAACCTGTGATGCCAAACAGATGCTGACACCTGCCGTCTCATTCACATGATTGCGCGGTGAACAATCGGGGTGATTCGACGAAATTCGTCGGAAGGCTTTCTACTGAACAGATTATTAAGAAATGTGACCGACACCATCAAGTTGATGCAATGGCAGCCAAATTCTTGATCGACCATCAAATAGAGAAAAAGGAACCTCTCAAATAAAAAGGATAAATTGTTTCTCAAGAAGTGAATTTTGTGCAGACAACGTATGCTATTCGATTTTTAAATAATGTTGTGCAAGTTCTTAAGTAGAGTAATAGAAACTGTTCAGATTTTTCAGAAAACAGTGGTCGATTGGCTATCAGAGTGAACGTCAATTAAGATTAGGGCGTGCTTGACGTCATGTTTGCGGGGGAGTTTCGTCTCGACAAAGGATGCGAGATGACATGAAAAGGAGAAGGGTGGGGGAAGAGAATTAGCAAATTAGCAGAAATAACCGGAAATTGACGCGCGCGAGTGATCACACTCACCCAGGACGATGCGGCGCGCCTCCCCGTTGCGCGGCTCGACGCGGACCACGGTCAGGAAGTCGCCCAGCAGCCGGAAGCGCTCCATGCGGCCCAGGCGGTCGAGGAACAGGAGCAGCTTGCGCTGGACGCAGGGCACGGACAGGCGCAGCAGGCAGTCCGAGTACATCCCCGAGAGCGCGGCGCCGGGGGAGTCGTCGTCCTGCTGGTCCTCTTTGCGCTGCGCCTCGTCCACGTCGACCTCGTTGTTGGCCGCGTCGTCCTCCTGCGGGAGCAGCACGCCGTCATTGCAGCGACGCACAGGCAAACGCAATTGGGAACGGAGAAGGGAGAGGGGATAGGGAGGGCGGCGGAAGCTAGGGAAAAAAACACCGGCTCGGCTCATCGGCTGAGATTCAAAACAATAAAGGTAGTATCTGGCCGAGCAGGGCCCCCACTGCGTCCCCACTCCCTCCCCGCCCCCAACGTCCCACCCGACGGCCCTGCCCGTGGCAAAGTGCATTGTCAGTTCTGCGACCTCTTTACAGAACTTCAGTGGGTTAATTGGGCTGATCGATCAAACCAGGCGCGCCATTCATTCTACAACCGTTGTTGAAATAAAAATTAGC